GCCGGGTTCGTAGCGCAGCACGCTAAATGCTACACGACAACACCCACACATCCTCCCACACACTCACACACTGTACCCACACAGCCACTCTTACACACCCACCCACATAGCCACCCACACACATCCACCCACACACCACCCACCCACTCACAGACACACCCAGCCATCCACCCACCCGCACACCCACCCACACACCGAGCCACCCACACACACCTAGCCACACACACACCCACACACCCACAACCCTCGTGTGTCGTTACGGCCTTAATAGGCGCTCGTTGACAGGATCAGCCTGCTAATGCTAAGCACGGCGGGGGAGGTCATGGCCATTGACTCGCCACTGTGCGGTTGGACACGTCCGGTGGACGAGACGGTGCATTCGGAGCGTCTGGCAGCAGACCCGAGTCCTCAACACGGCTGGAGCGAGTCAGTGAGTGGAGTTAACGGAGGGAGTAACCACGCTCGTGGTAGGTGTAGTTGTAGCACCACTACCAGGAGCAGTAGCACCATCACCAGCACCACCAGCAGCACCACCACCAGCACCATCACCAGCAGCAGCACCACCAGCACCAGCAGCACCAGAAGCACCAGCACCACCACCAGCACCACCACCACCACCAGCACCACCACCACCAGCACCACCAGCACCACCACCAGCACCACCACCACCAGCAGCACCAGTAGCACCACCACCAGCAGCACCACTACCACCAGCAGCACCACCACCAGCACCACCACCAGCACCACCACCACCAGCAGCACCACCACCACCAGCACCACCAGCACCACCACCAGCACCACCACCACCAGCAGCACCAGTAGCACCACCAGCACCACCAGCACCACCACCAGCACCACCACCACCAGCAGCACCAGTAGCACCACCACCACCAGCAGCACCACTACCACCAGCAGCACCACCAGCACCACCACCACCAGCAGCACCACCACCACCACCAGCAGCACCAGTAGCACCACCACCAGCAGCAGCACCGCTACCACCAGCAGCACCACCACCAGCACCACCACCAGCACCAGCAGCACCAGTAGCACCACCACCACCACCAGCAGCAGCACCACTACCACCAGCAGCACCACCACCAGCACCACCACCAGCAGCACCACCACCACCAGCAGCACCACCACCAGCAGCACCAGTAGCACCACCACCACCAGCAGCAGCAGCACCACTACCACCAGCAGCACCACCAGCAGCACCACCACCAGCAGCACCACCACCACCAGCAGCACCACCACCAGCAGCACCAGTAGCACCACCACCACCAGCAGCAGCAGCACCACTACCACCAGCAGCACCACCAGCAGCACCACCACCAGCAGCACCACTACCACCAGAAGCACCACCACCAGCAGCACCACTACCACCAGCACCACCACCACCAGCAGCAGCACCACTATCACCAGCAGCACCACCACCAGCAGCACCACCACTACCACCAGCAGCACCACCACCAGCACCATCACCAGCAGCACCACCACCACCAGCAGCACCACCACCAGCAGCACCAGTAGCACCACCACCACCAGCAGCAGCACCACTACCACCAGCAGCACCACTACCACCAGCACCACCACCACCAGCACGACCACCAGCACGACCACCAGCAGCACGACCACCACCAGCAGCACCACCACCAGCACCACCACCACCAGCACCACCACCAGCACCACCACCAGCACCACCACCAGCAGCACCACCACCACCAGCACCACCAGCAGCAGCACCACCAGCACCAAATTAATGATGGTAGGGTTTGCGCGTTAATTCCTAGGGCAACGGCATGGTCGAGCGCAAACACGTGGGTACAGGTGATCGCACTGATGAGGATATTCGCGCGCTGATTCCCAGCCCCACGGCGAGATAATGATGGGCGAGCGCAACACGCGGGTACAATGATGAATGAACGCCGACAGGATTCGCGCGCAAACCCCGGGCACAAACGCGCGCGGTTAGCGCGGCACAAACACAACGACAATCGAATCGAGGCTGTTTCACGCATTTCACCGGCTGTTCACACCTGCCACGAACGTCCGCGATCGTTTATCAGTGAATGCACACCGATCATCACACCTATGCGCGTACTCACTCCACCCCCACGCTCTCTCCACACCCACAGAAACCACACAACGTCGGTATTTTAGCTTCTTCTTCTTGGTTCTTTCGGTAAAGTCATCACGTAGAATGGAAATAATAAAATAATAAAAATCATCATAAAATACAATTCTCACGACGTTTCGGCCACAACGCAAGCAGCCGTCCTCAGGTGGAGAACAGGTCTGTCGAGAAGACAGAGTCTGAATGACACACCCCAGGCTTGGAGCGACTATTTAAGCTGGGATGGAGGGGGGAAGAGCGCCTTGACAAACGAATTTGCATATCAAGAGGAATTTAGCACATTTATGGGAAATGCAGATATGCGATTAGTACTATTTGTGAAATGCGTGGGAGGTTTGGCGGGGGGTTTATAGTCATTATGCCCGTGCATTATGCAGGATTAGCAGCATATTTTATGCTAGAGGTTTATTCCCGGTGCGACTGCGAGTAATTGCTACGTGACCCAGGAGGGTAAAACTAACCTATCTCACGACGGTCTAAACCAGGGGTCGGGAACCTTTTTGACTGGGAGAGCCATAAAAGCCAAATATTTCTAAATATATTTCATTGAGAGCCATATAGTATTTTTAACGTATAATAAATTAAATGTCTTACTTTTAATGCGACTTCTGGTGCTGCATGGTTTTGCTGATGGCCTTGTAGTCTGGTTCATACGTGGTGAGGTTGAGCTTCATGCAGGCGTGACCCGTGAAATTTATCTTCAAAACTAATTTCTGTTTACTTTAAAATGACACAGCATTATTAAACAATATCACAAGTATTTTAAAATCAGTTTCAAGCTGATTTTTTTATTTTTTTATTATTATTTTTTTTCAACTCAAAATTGTCTGGGAGCCATATGCCGTCACTTGAAGAGCCATATATGGCTCGCGAGCCATAGCTTCCCGACCGCTGCTTTAAACCCAACCCACCTGGCCTATGTCGAATTAAGCCCTTGTGAAGTCCTCACGCTATTCCCCACTAAGCGCTTCGTCCGTGTTGGGAGTTGGAGAGGCGAGGGTGTTGGAGATCCCTCCCTGCCTGTGGGTCCCAGCTGCGCTCGGTCGCGCCTCTCGGACGCTCGAGTGGCTGGAAGGCTGAACGCGTGGCTCGCTGACTTGAGAAGAACACAGCTGCTCAGTCGTCCTCTCCCCTCCCCTTTCATCACTTTCTACACCAAAGAGATCACCGCTAAGCTGGGTCCCCTCGTACCTCCGTCCGTCTGGAAGACCCTTAGCCTGCTGCTCGTGTCCCCGTCCCCTACCTGCCGTGCTTTCCCTGCTTTCTCACTGCGGTTGATGAGTGGCCTTGCCGTGACCATGTCATTTCAAGTTGATTCAGGGCGCCGCAGTGCCATTCGACCTGGGGGGAATCTGCCAATTTCTCGGCCCCGGGAAATCGTGGAGCACCCCCACGAGGGGCTCTCGGGTGAAAACCCAGAGGCCAGGTGACTCCCCCACGAGGTCCTACGTGGGGGTGTGTGTGTGTGCTCGTGTGAGGGCTTGCGAGGGGGGAGTAGCACCAGCAGAGCTGCTTCGTTGTTGTAGCTGTGGCATAACATAGTTAGTTGTTGTAGCGATAGGAGAGTGATACCGAGTAGACGAATGGAGCGAGCGATTAGAGTGAATGAATTTAGTGAGTGACTGGAGTGAATGAATGGAGCGAACGAGTCACTGGAGTGAATGAATGGAGCGAGCGAGTGACTGGAGTGAATTAATGGAGCGAACGAGTGAATTTAATGAATGAATGGAGTGAGTGAACGAGTAGCTGTAGTGAATGACTCCAGCAATTGGCTGGAGTGAATTAATGGAGCGAGCAACTGGAGTGAGTAAATGAATGAATGGAGCCAGAGGAGTGTGGGGGACGGTGAAGAGAAGTGTGGGTGAAGAGGAGTGGGGGGGGGAATGAAGAGGATTGTGGGGGTGAAGATGAGTGAGGGGGAGGGGGTGAAGAGGAGTGGGCGGGGGGTGAAGAGGAGTGGGGGAGGGGGTGAAGAGGAGTGGGGGGTGAAGAGGAGTGAGGGGGAGGGGGTGAAGAGGAGTGGGGGGGGATGGAGAGGAGTGGGGGGGGTGATGATGAGTTGGGGGGGTGAAGAGGAGTGGGGGGTGAAAAGGAGGGAGTGGATAGAGAGGAGTGGGGGGTGAAGAGGAGTGGGGGGGGGGTGAAGAAGAATGGGGGGGGTGAAGAGGAGTGGGGGGGGGGAGTGAAGAAGAATGGGGGGGTGAAGAGGAGTGGGGGGGGGTGAAGAGGAGTGGGGGGGGGGGGTGAAGAGAGCAACTCACTCACCCACCCACTCACTCACCCACCCACTCACCCACCCACCCACTCACCCACCCACCCACTCACCGACCCACCCACCCACTCACCCACCCACCCACCCACTCACTCACCCACCCACCCACCCACTCACCCACCCACTCACCCACTCACTCACCCACTCACCCACTCACCCACCCACTCACCCACCCACCCACTCACCCACCCACCCACTCACTAACTCACTCACTCACCCACCCACCCACCCACTCACTCACTCACTCACCCACCCACCCACCCACCCACTCACCCACCCACCCACTCACCCACCCACTCACCCACTCACTCACTCACTCACCCACCCACTTACTCACTCACTCACCCACCCACTCACCCCACCCACCCACTCACCCACCCACCCACGCACCCACCCACTCACCCACCAATTCACCCACCCACTCACCCAAATCAATCCCACCCCCCTCCGCAACTGCTCAGCCACCCACTCCCCTCCCCACCACCACCCCCACCACACTCCCTCCACAACTTTACTCGTCTCTCCGACCTCACAGCGACACCCAACTCCCCCCCCCCCCTACCGCTACTCACCCACTCGGGGTGACGACGCTCCCGAGGTCACCAAGAGAGAGGAGGAGGATGATTCCCCGGGGACTTCGTCCGCGCGACGCCATGCTGACGACTCCTCAATTTCCAGCACTCTTCATCTTCACCGTGTTCCTGTCCCTGGGGATCTGCTACGTCTACTACAAGTCTCCGACTCTCCAATGCGGGTGAAGCGAGCGAGCGATCCAGCGAACTCCGCGACATTTCGCCCATCACCAATTCGCCAGTACTGCCCTCGGTCACGCAGAACGCTCCTGTCATTTGTTACGCTCTTATCCAGAACTATTCTGTCCTGTGTTACCCTCTCATCCAGAAATCGTCTGTCCTATGCTGCCCTGTGTTCGACCAGAATACCTGCTCCTTCGCGATTAGCACTGTTGGCTTCGTGAGTTGCGAAATAAAATAATAATAAATGAAAATAAATCAATTAAATCATGACGTTTCGGAGACAACACGAGTCTCCGTCTTCAGGTGATTGATATATTTTCATCTATTGTTATTAATTATTTTTTTATTTTTTTACCTAGTCACGAAAGCTTCAAATCTAGAATTAGTTGCGAAATAAGTTCAACACGCATGCGTACAACTTCGCTCCCTCGCTTATACCAGTGTGTACTCTCTGCCTCTCTCTCTCTCTCCCATACTCACCTCGTCCACCACCTCTGTGGGAGTTAGATGTTGGTGGGATTATTACTCGGCGTGTGATGCAAACGAGTCATGAGCTTACTCCACTCACTCACCCACTCACTGCGTTAGACCAGGCTCTAAAGAAAGCTGTCTCTGGTGTGTGCATCACATACTACCGGAGCAGCATGTTTATTTATTGCATGTTCACCACAAGTACGTGTGTGGTTAATGCAGACAAGATTGCTTGAAGAAGGATTTTGTTTGGTTATTTTAGCATCTTATTTATCTCCTGTATTATTGCCAGAAAGGGTGAAATCTCTTGTTATAATCGTAGTCAAGAGAGATGCGATGAAGAGCGTTCCAGACGGCCGCAAAAGCACTTTCAGACGCGCTTCTGCGGCCGTCTGAGACGCTCTTTATTCCCATATATGCACTTGCAAATCTCAATTGAAAACTAATTTCTTCAGAACTGCTCTGTGTGTTCAGGTTGTTGTCCTTCCACCACGCACCTCCAATTAGCACGGTTGGATACGTACGGTGCGAAAATTTCAACATACGTACATACACACTACTATACACTACATATTACACGACTATACACTACATGCTACACTACTATACACTACATACTAGACTACTATACACTACATACTGCACGACTATACACTACATACTAGACTACTATACACTACATACTGCACGACTATACACTACATGCTACACTACTATACACTACATACTACACTACTATACACTACATACTACACTACTATACACTACATGCTAGACTACTATACACTACATACTACACTACTATACACTACATACTAGACTACTATACACTACATACTGCACGACTATACACTACATGCTACACTACTATACACTACATACTAGACTACTATACACTACATACTGCACTACTATACACTACATACTACACTACTATACACTACATGCTACACTACTATACACTATATGCTCAAGTTCAAGTTAATTTATTAGGTATAGCCCTGTGAGCCATTCGGCTCTTGAATCGGGTGCAACCGCAAAAAACAAAAACATGAACAAAAAACATCTTAAAGTGAAAACATTACTATACACTACTATACACTACATACTACACTACACTATACACTACATACTACACTACTATACACTGCATACTGCACTACTATACACTACATACTGCACGACTATACACTACATGTTACACTACTATACACTATATACTACACTACTATCCACTACATACTACACTACTATACACTACAGACTACACTACTACACTATATACTACACTACTCTATACTACACTACTGTACACTACTCTATACTACACTCCTATACATTACACTATACACTACATATTACACTACTATACACTACACCACTATACTACATTGAAAACGAATTTTTTTAGAACCTCCAATCCACACGGACCTATATGGATTGGAGAACACAATACAAGTGCACAGGTTAGAGACGTTGATCTTCATCGAGCAGTGGATAGATGATGGTGCTCATGGTAAAAGCATGGAGAGATACGGGCTTGGAGTTACACTTAGAGACGGAGACAGATGAACGCCCGTATTGGAGAACAATCCACAGGTTAGATACGTTGATCATCATCCAGCAGTGGATAGTTCATGGTGGTCTCTGAGTCTATCGTACGGCTGATGTCGATAGCGAAATCGTAATCACATGCGCAGTGAACACCTACGGGCTATCTGCCCATGCATCGTGATGATGGTGATGATGTAGATGCTGACGACTGCAATTTCACATTTAGGCGGTGTCAAGCCACAGAGAACAGCGTCAGGAGCCAATAGCAGCGTGGTTGTGTCGCTGTGATGATGCCCCTTCCTCCTCCGCGTGTGTGGATCTGGGGTGCATCGTTCCGCGTCGTACTTACGGCCCTGTTCTGGATGACGCACAGACCTCACATTATCAGTCAGCATTTTTTTACTGTCCATTTTGTGGCATCAGCTATCCGCTGCTGCTGCTGTCATTGGCTGTGTTCAGTGGACGATGCGATTTGGAGGTGGGACCACGCGAGCAACTATCGTGAAAAATCAAACCCCCCCCTCCCCCCGTGGGTTTTTATCTTGTGTGTCAGGGCGTCCACAACAAGGCGGTGCGTGCCCGCGACTTATCACGAACTTCGTTCAGCCTCTATACAAACCTTCATCGGGGAGGGGTGGGTGGGTTAGGGGTGGGTGGGTGAACCCGCGTTGCCGAATCGAACTCGGGTCGCCGCGGGTTTCGGAGCGCCGCGCCAACCAACGCATCCACCGCTCCCATCCAATGCCAACGGGCGCCATTCGCCACCACGCGACGGTGACGTCACCGCGGAGCAGCCTCGCGGCCACGTGGAAGGCGTCGACGGCTCGCTGCCGGCAGGAGGTCACGGGGACAGAGCCAGGGTGCCCTGGGTTGACTCACCGAGATGGCTGGAAGATGCACCACCTGTGCCGCTCTCATCCCAAACACGCAGAACAAAGGTTTCCCTATAGCCTTAACAGACTACTAATAGGGGTTTTCCCCTTTTTTCTGGCAACAAAACTGACACCTTTTGCAAGGAATCATGTTTACATTAACCACAATACTTGCAGTCAAATGCAAACAAAAAACAATACTCTGATAATTGTTTGCATTTGACTGCAAGTATTGTGGTTAATGTAAGCATGATTCCTTGCAAAAGGTGTCAGTTTTGTTGCCTGAAAAAAGGGGAAAACCCCTATTAGTATATTTTGGTACTGACAAAGGAGGTCCCATGATGCCTTAACAGACTGTTGGGGCAAGTGCTGTTCGCGAGCACCTATGAAGGCCGGAACGGCACACGAGGGGGTGGGTGGCCAATACCACGGGCGGCCGTTTTTGTCACCCCAGCGACGATGTTTACACACCACTCCAGGTACTCATTTGAGGCTGAGTCGACGTAGTGGAGGCCCAAGATCGGTTCAGATAATCGTCACTGATGTTGGCCGTGAGCGGGAATCGAACTCGCGTCGCCGGGGTTAATAGCGCAGTCGCACCAACCACTACCCCACTGCTCCCATCCGCACACACACGGACATAAATTACTAATATCCCCCGTGTAGCCTTAATAGACTTTTAGGGCAAGTGCCGTTAGCGACGGGGTACAAAAGGGCGATGAAGTCCGGCGTCGTTGTACAGAGCCACACGCTGGGAGGGAACGTTGATTGCGTGATAGTGTCGTGGTGACGGGGTGACCAGAAGTGGCTGATGGGGTGATTGGGGGTTGCTGATAGGGTGACTGGAGTTCAGCTGACGGGGTGACTGGGGGTGACTACTATACTACAATTACATTGGCCACGACCACCTTCGCGGGCCACAATGGGTTCTAAAATTTGACAGAGGGGCCGGGCCAGGAACAGATGGATGGAGTGTTTGTGTGAACTAATATAAATGACATGTAAAAATCATTACATGAAAGGATTTGGCCTTTAACAGGTAGCAAAGCATTTATTTGCAAGGCAATTTAACAAATTGCACGAACATGAACAATAAAAAAACATGTCGTAACGTGACTGATCAAACATCATGAAAACATCTGAGGCCTGCGCCTAAACCAATTACCTCACATGAACTCTTTATTATCTACATTAACAGGTTAGAGCAGCCACGCAGACTGTGTGTCGGAGATTTGGCTCCAACCTCGCTGCAGCAACACATAACACTTTCAGTTTCAGTGGGAACAATGTTGTTGATCTCCCATTATTGCCAGTGCATCCAAGTCTGGAGTTATTTTGGTTGTGGCAATTCTCAGGATAGATCTGAGGTGCTGATCCGTTAACTTTGATCTATGACGGGCTTTGTTGGCGTTCATGACGCTGAATGTCTGCTCGCACACATAAGTCGAGCCAAACAAAGTCAGTATCTTCTGTGCAGTCCTCCGGAGGTTTGGAAACGTGGCTCTGTTAAGTGAAGCATAAAAGTAATTCAGTTTAACAGAGTTGAACGTCTCCTTTAGGACGGAGTCAGACTGAAGATCTATCAGTTCCAACTGCAGCTCCTGTGGTGCTGTTTCGGGGTCTTGTGAAAGGGGACAGGACACCAGCTGAAGTGACTGTTCAATATTTTCGAAATCAGAGAACATACGCCAGAATTCTCCGTGCAGGTCCTCAAGTGATTTGCTGTATTTTTTTGCGTTTCGCGGTGCCTCTTCCTGCATGGCAAGTGTGGGGAAATGAGCGAAAGATTTGTTCGCAATTTTTCCCGAGAACAAAGTGAGCTTGAATTTGAAGGCTTTCACATGTTTATACATGTCGTGAACAAACTGATCTTTCCCCTGCAGTTTCACATTCAGCTCATTCATGTATAAAAATATGTCCACAGCAAAAGCAAAGTCAATAAAGCCAGTTATTGTCGTTTAGCTCAGGGAATTCGTCAGATTTCCCCATCAACTCCAAAAATGCGATGATGTCCTCTTTCAGCTCCCACACTCGTTGGAACACTTTCTCCAAACTTAACCAGCGGACACGAGAGTGGTACAGCATGTCCTGATGATCCGCAT